CATTGTCAGTGGCATGTGGATTTTCAGGGTGAAGCGGCCTCCGGGTTCTCCGCCTGTCTTCAAGGAGTGTTACGTGGCTCGAGGCTTCAGTTAGCGGCAGGGAGTTGACTACTTCCAGACCTTCTCTCCCACCCCGAAGATGACCACTCTTCGGGTGCTGCTGCACATAGCCGCTCAGCGCGAATACGAGCTTCACTCTCTTGACTTCAGCACAGCTTTCCTGCAGGGCAGCGTGCACAAGGAGATCTGGCTACGCCGCCCACCTGGCTTCAGTGGGTCGTTTCCCCCTGGTACCCAGTGGAGCCTCCGTCGGCGAGTCTACGGTCTCCGCCAGGCACCCCGTGAGTGGCAAGACACACTGAGGACTACACTTGCGGCTCTTGGGTTTGCTCCTTCTACAGGCGACCCGTCGCTGTTTCTGCGCACCGACACCTCTTTGCCGCTGTTCTACATCCTCGTGTACGTCGACGACTTGGTCTTTGCCACAGCTGACACTAATGGACTCGCCCACATGAAGTCCGAGCTGCAGAAGAGACACACGTGCACAGACCTGGGTGAACTGTGCAGCTACCTTGGCTTGCAGATCACCCGGGACAGAGCACAGCGCACCATTACCCTGACTTAGTCACACATAGTGCAGCAGGTCCTTCAGCGCTTCGGCTTCACGTACTCCTCGCCTCAGGCCACTCCTCTGTCTACTAGCCACTCGCTCTCAGCTCCGCCTTCGGATGAGTCCGTAGAGCCGAGTGGCCCGTACCCAGAACTTGTTGGCTGCCTCATGTACCTGATGACCTGCACACGACCTGACCTTGCATACCCTCTTAGCATCTTGGCACGCTATGTTGCTCCTGGGAGACACTGACCAGAGCACATGGGTGCAGCGAAGAGGGTGTTGCGCTACGTGTGCAGTACGTCGGGCATGGGCTAGTGCTTGGAGGGCGACGTCGAGTGGTCCTCACTGGGCACGCAGACGCTTCTTGGGCTGACGAGCAGGCTCTGCACTGGTCGTCACATGGTTACACCTTCAGCCTTGGCTCCAGCTCTGTTTCGTGGCGGTCTACTCGCTCGTCCTCTGTTCTTAGCTCCAGCTGTGAGGCTGAGATCTATGCAGGGGCCATGGCTGCACAGGAGCTACGCTGGCTCACCTACTTGCTGGCTGACCTAGGAGAGCCGCCTCGTTCTCCTCCAGTTTTGTACGTAGACAACAAGGCCATGTTGGCCTTGTGTCGGGAGCACAGACTGGAGCACAGAACGAAGCACATTGCTCTCCGCTACTTCCTGGCTCGTGAGCTGCAGCAGCGTGGTGAGCTCCGCCTCACCTACGTGGCCTCTGAGGCCAACACTGCTGATATCTTCACCAAGGCCCTTCCGCCTTGTGATCATCAGCGCTTCTGTACTTTGCTAGGTCTTGTGCCTACCTGGCCTCACTTGCTTACTTCTTGATCTTGTTTGTACTGTACTCTTTCTATACCTGCATTTGCTTGTTTACCTTTATATATATATGATCTTGCATGTGAACTCGCCTTGTGGCCTTGCTCTTGTGCTCGGACTGTGTGGTGACTTTGTGATCCACCCTGAGCTTGCTTTGCTTCGCTTGACTGGTCTTGTGACCACTTGTTCTCCCCCACTTTGCCTATGGGGGTGTGTCAGAACATTATAGCTTATACATCCGTGTAGGCTGTAGTGGGGTAGCCCATAAGGGGTACAACCCAATTAGGGTTAGTACTTGTACCCAACTGTTTCATAGTTCAATCATTCTCTCGTTCTAATCTTCACAAACCTGTCGCCCACGCTGCCCGCGGTCGCCCCGAGTTCAATCCCGCCTGTAACCCTGCGTGCGGGGATAGCATAGGCTGCAGTGGCAGGTGGGATTTTGGATTTCGCTTTGTCCTGCCACGGGTCGCACGTGTCGCAGTCAGGTGTAGCCGCCATGTCGCTGCAATGTTTGCACTGGCCCATGGGACACGGACGCCAGAGTATGTGTGTTGTGAATGTGTGTGACTCGGTCGTCTAATGTGTGTTGTCGCTTTTGTGTTTTGATGGCTGCATGTAATAGAGTAGTCCCTATAAATATATTTTTTGTGCAATTTGAATCCGGGTTCCATTTAAACATGGGAACAAATCGTTGTGCTATAACGCACCCGTGCCACAATTTTAACGGTAGCATGCGGTTCGTGCGGGCGACGCTCCCATTTTCGGAATGGCGCGAAAACCCGCGTGTTACCCGGTGACACGTTACTGTTACACCCATGCTGGATCCCCTCTATGTAGTCATGTTGCCGTTTGTAGCACATACACCTACAGTGACATCAATCGCGTCCCTATTATGTTTATAATAATTACTTCTTGTTCTATCGAGTGTACGCAACAGTGGTTGTCCTAGACGCGGAACGTCCAGAACAGGGGATCGACATTGTCTTGAGATTGCTAGAACAATCTCTAGGGTTTGTCCCAGTGGGTGGTTTGCGCAGTCTCCCGACACTCCCGCCGTCTATCATTGCATTGTCAATAATAATGTTAGCTGTATGTTGTCACGCGATACTTTTGACAGTCCATGTGCAATGTATTGACACTGTTTTCGCACCAATTTCTTTGTGACGACGTTTCAGGTAGCTAAAATGTTCCATGTACTGTGTTGGACCAGGGCTGTCGATTCAAGGGCATTTGCCCTTAATGCCCTGAACATTCCGGGCGAACTCACAGCCAGCTTCGGCATTTCAAAGGGTTGGTTTCGAGGGAAGCCCGTTTTTCTTACGGGCTGGTTTTGAGAAATAGGGGGTCCTAGCCCGGATCCGTTAAGGGCTGATTCGGGGCCTTTCCCTGATTTCCCGGATCAGGAGTAGATTAGCCCTGCGAGTTGCCCAAGTTGCCACTCTTATCCTCCCACTCTCATCCTCCGTGTATCTCCCACAAGCTATCTACTTAGGCACGAAATGACTTTCTTGTGTTGATGTTATGGCTGTAGTTGCAAAATATTTTCAAGTCAATTCGTCTCCTCACAGTTCCAAGTACTCACTGGACTCGCGACACTGACACCCTACGAGGCCAAGAGGAAATTGCCCCATCAGTTCACACTAGTAGTACTACATGAAAAACGACCACCTCGGAAGTGCTTTGTGATTGTACACACGAGTTTAAGCGACTTCTTTGCTGACGATGTTTTGCCCTACGACCCCTCTCCTCCCCCCCCCCCCCCCCCCCACCCCACTTCCCCCCTCGTTGTAGGTATGCAGATGAGTCGTTAGCATACTCCTTCTCGCTGCTAAGTAATAGGTTGAAGCCCGGATGTCAAGTTTTGTGCCATTACGGCTCACGTACATTTTTGTAGGAAGCCCGGATGTCAAGTTTTGAATTTGACCTGCGCCCGTGATCGTTAAGGGCTAAAAAACGGTCACCTTTGCGAAAATCAGGGCCAAACTTCGAACAGCTCATAACTCAAAGTGTTGGTCCCAGGGACTTCGACAGGCCTGTGTTGGACCAGCCCGGAAGCAGAGCAGCGTGCCATCCTTCATCGCGCTGCCCGCGCTGCCACTCTCCTGCTTCTGTCACGGCGTCTTATGGGCAATTTAAGCGACTAGCACGTGTAGTCGCTCGATTCGCGGGTCGATCTTGCTGTGGAAGAAAGCTCCAAGCGTAGCAATTTTGAGTCGCGTGTTATCTGGCGACCTTGTGTGCGACACCCAGTCACGCTAGTCCATCTCTTCGCGATGAAGCTTATGATCGAAGCTCAACGTCACCTTGCCACGAGAATACATTTACAAGAGTTCAGGTTTGACCATCGTAGCTGTTCCTGTTCGCCATCATGTCGACCAATGAGATCCAAGCGCTTCTCTCGCCGCGATTCGCCACAAGCGATGCCATCCATGCCGGAACGATCACGGCCGTCTCGCCAAAAGGGGAATCGAGTCGGCTTATAGCGAATAATGGCGAAGACGTTATCGTGCCAGCGGACCTGGAAGATGACATTGCTGAGTCAGCATCGGCGTCTGGTGGCCGCGGCGCGTCGCCATGGTGCGCGCCGTGGCTGTGGACGGCGGTTAAGGTGGTGGGGCTCGTGGTGCTCTGGCACACCTTCAGCACGGCGCTCTCCCTGTAAGCACGGCGCTCTCCCTGTAAGCACGGCGCTCTCCCTGTAAGCACGGCGCTCTCCCTGTAAGCACGGCGCTCTCCCTGTAAGCACGGCGCTCTCCCTGTAAGCACGGCGCTCTCCCTGTAAGCACGGCGCTCTCCCTGTAAGCACGGCGCTCTCCCTGTAAGCACGGCGCTCTCCCTGTAAGCACGGCGCTCTCCCTGTAAGCACGGCGCTCTCCCTGTAAGCACGGCACTCTCCCTGTAAGCACGGCGCTCTCCCTGTAAGCATGCCGCGTTCCTTGTAAGCATGCCTCTTTCCCTGTGTAGCCACCCCTCCCTGTAGCTACCACTCTCCCAGTACGTGATCAAGTCTCTCACAGGGCTGGCCATCCTCCGGGCCGTTGCATTGCAGTAACGAACAAGCGGCACGCGGAGGCCTTACTTCCATCAAATCGTGTTGTTTTTAGACAACGAAACGAGCCCCATGGGCTGGCCAACCACTGGGCCCGTTCGCCCGTATTTCCCTTGGCAAGAAACCCGTTTTTGCCCCCTGCTGTACCCGTGCACTCCCGCTATGCATCGCACTCTCATGCCATGCATGTACACACGGGGGGGGCGGTGGTGGGTGGGTGGACGGGTGGGTGTGGGTGGGTGGGTGGGTGGGTGGGTGGGTGGGTGGACGGGTGGGTGTGGGTGGGTGGGTGGGTGGACGGGTGGGTGGACGGGTGGGTGTGGATGGGTGGGTGGGTGGGTGGGTGGGTGGGTGGACGGGTGGGTGTGGGTGGGTGGGTGGGTGGACAGGTGGGTGTGGGTGGGTGGGTGGGTGGGTGGGTGGGTGGGCGGGTGGGCGGGCGGGCGGGTGGGCACTTGGCAGGTACATCAAGGCGTTGATCGGCAAGACGCACGGGCGCTTCCCGGTGCCGCTAATGATGACCACCGTGCACTTCCTGGTGCAGGGCGGCATCGCCTCGCTGCTGCTGCCACTCGTGGCTGCCCGCCTCGCCTGGCGCAACTACTTCGTGCGAGGTACGCCGTGTGGGTGGGAGGGAGTGGGCATGGGCACGCTCGGGAGCTCATGCATGCACGTCCTGCAACGTGACCATTGAGGCTAGTTCAGGCGACTGTCTAATGGATGCTTACTTGTTTAAACGTGTGTCGGCCTGTGCCCCGTGTGCTGTTGTGCTGTGCCCCGTGTGCTGTTGTGCTGTGCCCCGTGTGCTGTTGTGCTGTGCCCCGTGTGCTGTTGTGCTGTGCCCCGTGTGCTGTTGTGCTGTGCCCAGTGTGCTGTTGTGCTGCGCCCCGTATCCTGTTGTGCTGTGCCCCGTGTGCTGTTGTGCTGTGCCCCGTGTGCTGTTGTGCTGCGCCCCGTGTGCTGTGCCCCGTGTGCTGCTTCACCCCATGCGCTGCTGTGCCGTGCCACGTGCGTGCATGCAGTGGTGCCCACGAGAGTCGCCACATCGCTGGACATTGCCCTCTCCAACCTCTACCTCGCGCTCGTCACCCTCACCTTCTACACCATGGTTCGCATTCCTTCCCGCCCTTCGTCATCACTGTGCGATATCTTATCTGCTTCATTCACTGCAGTCTTGGTCAAAATGATCCACTTACGTGGGTGCGCTCAAAAGTGGGTGCGCTCAAAAGTGGGGGCAATGTCTTATCCGTTTCAGAAAGAGTCGAGTGTGGCACTCAAATTTGGGTGCGCTCTCCACACACACACAGCACGTTGCGATGCATAGAGTAGAATAATTGACTCGCGCATCAACAGTGGCATAAAACCTCTCTCCTGCGCCATATCCCCTCCCCTGCCTGCGCATGTCCCAGTGCAAATCCAGCGCGGGTGTCTTCCTCCTCCTCTTCGCCTTCCTCTTCCGGTGAGCCACGCCACCGTGATTGCCATGCCATCCTCACCGTGACTGCCATGCCATCCTCACCGTGACTGCCATGCCATCCTCACCGTGACTGCCATGCCATCCTCACCGTGAGTGCCATGCCATCCTCACCGTGACTGCCATGCCATCCTCACCGTGACTGCCATGCCATCCTCACCGTGACTGCCATGCCATCCTCACCGTGACTGCCATGCCATCCTCACCATGACTGCCATGCCATCCTCACCGTGACTGCCATGCCATCCTTACCGTGACTGCCATGCCATCCTCACCATGACTGCCATGCCATCCTCACCGTGACTGCCATGCCATCCTCACCCTGACTGCCATGCCATCCTCACCGTGACTGCCATGCCATCCTCACCCTGTCTGCCATGCCATCCTCACCGTGACTGCCATGCCATCCTCACCGTGACTGCCATGCCATCCTCACCGTGACTGCCATGCCATCCTCACCGTGACTGCCATGCCATCCTCACCGTAACTGCCATGCCATCCTCACCGTGACTGCCATGCCATCCTCACTGTGACTGCCATGCCATCCTCACCGTGACTGCCATGCCATCCTTGTTAGAGACTAAGGACGGAGTCTACGAAGATTAGGTGCCGAAATTTCTCAAAATCGTTGGCTTAGAATTCTGGACAGAATTTTCGAGTTCACAAGAAACGCCGTCGACAAGAAACGCACTGCTGAAACTTCACCAATTTCACATATGTTATAGCTCTAGTCCATGGCTACAATTCCCAATTTGAATCGTATAGAAAGGTGAAATAAATCTTGACTTATCAATTTCGGCGCACAGGGGGGTATGCTGCCATAAGAACTTAACTCAATCACAAAGTTCACACAAGTTCACACAAGAGAATTAGAGTAGCACTAAACCAGGTGGAAGGGATGAGGAGGATGAGAGGGAAGGTCCCAAGAGAGTCCCCAACCAAGGAAACCCCATGCCACACAATTCCCTTCCCCATAGGCAACCCAACTTTGACCTTTGTCACTATCCCAACCTCCACTATCCACCTCAACCCAACTTGGCCACACTTGCCAACCTGGTTTGGTTTCTCCCAACCATTTGGCAGCATCTACAGTGATGGGTTCGAATTTCCCAACCCCCACAAGTCTGTACCCCATATTGAGTCAATGCCACAACTTTCCAAAGTAGCTGCAACCAAAATATATAAGCATACGAACTCCAATGTTCGTAACTATCTTGGTTGTGCTCCGATCGCGACGATTCTTGGTTCGTCGGAAAGCTCTTGAGTAGAGGAATCACTTCAGATATCTGCTCAAGCCAAATAACATACACACACACAGACACATATACACACAGATACACACACACACACACACACACACGCACACACACACACACAAAATCCAAACCACATAAGACACAAATTTCTTGCACACGCTCACACCACGCATGCAACGCACAAACACATGATGGGAGGCAGACAGACGTGAATGCACATAGTTGCATCACACAACAAACTCCCCCTCTGGCTGCCAACCATCATCCCACATGCCATAACTCAAGCATGCACCCTCAATGCACACTCATTCCCGCAAGCTTCATGCCCTTCCAATGCTCAGTTTCTGCCAGGCGCTTGGTGAGAATGTCAGCCGCCTGCTGCTGGGTCTTCACAATCTCCAGCCGCACCTCCTTGTCCAGGAGCCTCCTTGTCCAATGCCACTTTGGCCTGATGTGCTTTGTCAAGTCATGAAGACAGGCATTCTTCGCAAGCTTCACCGCCGACTCATTGTCACAGAAAATCACAGTCGGCTCCCTTTGACACACTCGGATTTCCTCCAACAAACGCCTTAGCCACACCACCTCCTTTGCCCCATGATGCAGGGCCTTGTACTCTGTCTCACACGAGGACAACCCCACCTCGTTCTGCTTCTTGCTGCGCCAGCTCACTGCACCACCTCCAAAGAGGCACACATAGCCTCCAATGCTAGTGCCATCCGTCTTCACTAAGTTGAAGCTAGCGTCGGTGTAGCAAGTCAAGCGCATCTCCCCCTTGCTCAAATTAGCTGCACCCCTCTGTAGCCTCTGTCGCACAGCACTGTACTCCAAGCCCACTGATGATGTAGCGCTCACATAGCGGACCAACCTCTTGGCCGCTTCCAGCTGCTCATGACTTGGGCATGAAACCACACTCGCAAGCCTGGATGTAGCAAAGGCAATGTCAGGCCGCGTGTGGTTAGCCGCATAGTTGAGTGCCCCCACCATGGAGTGAAACAACTTCCTGTCACTCTCCCCCACCACCTCCTCATCAGCACAGGGCTCCACAGTGAACCCCGAAGGCAGCGGGGTGGCTGGCTTTCCTGCATCTTGCAGCCCATACTTCTCAGCCAGCCCCTCACAATACTTCCTCTGGTGCAACCTCAACACTCCCTTGTCAAGGTCCCTCTCCACATGCATCCCAAGGTAGTACTTCACATCTCCCATCTTGGAGCACTTGAACTGCATTTCCAGCATCTCCTCCATACGTTCAATCATCGCAGATGACTCAGAGAAGAGCAGGATGTCGTCCACGTACACCAGGAGCATGAGGAACTGCTCCTTCTCTTGCAGCAGGAACAGGCTGTGATCACACTCGCTCTTCTTAAACCCCTCGGCCAGCAGTGTCTCCTCCAGCTTGTGGTACCATGCGTGAGGAGCCTGCTTCAGGCCATAGATGGCCTTCTTGAGCCTGCACACCCTGCCGCTCCCATCATCCAACCCCTCAAGCTGCAGCATGTACAGCTCCTCCAGAATGATTCCATTGAGGAAGGCAGTGATTATGTCCATCTGCTTGATCTTCCAGCCACGGTTTGCAGCCATTGCCAACATTGTCCTCAGTGTAGTGCCTTTCCCCACAGGAGCAAAGATATCATCAAAATCCTTCCCCTTTGTCTATTGGAACCCCTTAGCCACAAGCCTTGACTTGTAGCGGGTCAGCTCCCCATCAGGTCCGTACTTGTGCCTGAAAATCAGCTTGGAAGAAATGGCCTTCTTCCCTGGAGGCAGCTCACACAGCTCCCACGTCTCGTTCTCCAGAAGAGAGTCATACTCCTCCTTCACACTCTGCTTCCACTTCTCAGCATCGGGCCCACTCAAGGCCTCGGTAAGTGTCTTGGGCTCAGGGACGGCTGCCCAGTAACAGTGCGCTATCTCCTCCTCATCACACTGCTCAGCCACACTCCCAGCCCTTACCACACTTGGCTTCCCAAAGCTCGGATAGGTCAGCTGGTTAGGAGGGCGCACATCCCTCCTTGGACGGTCAGCCGGACGTACGGCACCTTGTGGAGCATCTTGCTGCTGCTGCTCCTCCACCTTAGGTTCTCCCCCATCCTCAGTCACCCCAGAAATCTCCTCCTCTGAGACAGTGACCTGCACTTGCCTCGAAGGCCGCTGCACCTCATCAGCCTCAATGATCAGCGGTGTAGTGGGAAGCTTCTGCTGCTGCTGCTTCCACTCCTTGTAGTACAAGGACTCAAGGAACTTCACATCCCTCGACACAGTCAGCTGCTGGCTGGTCAAGTCCCAAATCAGCCAGCCCTTGTGATCCTTAGCAAGCCCCAAGTGCACACCCCATCTCCCAGAAGCTTCCAGTTTTCCCCTCTTCTCCTTAGGCACATGAAACACCACCATGCAGCCGTAGGCTCTCAGCATGTTGACTGCTGGTGCACTCCCATACCACTTGGTATAGGGGACCCATTGCTTGTCCCCCACTGTCGCCAGCACCCGGTTCTTCACAACAGCGACCTGCCGCAGTGCTGTCACCCAAAACGGATCCGGCAGCCCTGCACACCCAAGGAGAGTGCTAGCACCTTCCTGCAGGGTCCGGTTGAACCGCTCAGCCACGCCGTTCTGCTGAGGGTTGTAGGGCACCGTGAGCTGATGCTGGATCCCCTTCTTCTTTAGCACCGCCTCAAAATCAGCGCCAATAAACTCTCCCCCATTGTCGGTGCGGATCACCTTGACCTTGTGTCCGCTCTCCCTTTGTGCTCTCGGCATCCACTCCTTAAGAACAGTCGCTGCCACCTCCCCTTTAGTCTTGAGAGGGTAGACCCACACCGCACGTGTGTGGTCGTCCACAATGGTCAAGAAGTAGCGGCTGCCCGAGAGAGAAAGGGCCCTTGTGGGGCCCACCACATCCATGTGCACAAGCGCGAGTGGAACCTTGGCTGGTCCCGTGCTGCTGCTGAAAGGGAACTTGGTGAACTTTGTCTCAAGGCATGTAGGGCAGCTCCCAATCTCCTTCGCTGCCCCCTTCACCTCCAATCCCTTCAAGCTCCCATCCTTCACCAACTTCTGCAGCATAGGAATGTTGATGTGGCACAGCCTCTCATGCCACGTCTCCCAATCGGCCTCACCACTCTCAGACGAAGCCTTTGCCCATGCAGCCGTTGCATCCACACCAGCAAGCACCTCACCATGTGATTGCTGTGGCTGCTGCACCTTCTTGACTGCATCCAGGGCCCCAGCAGTTGGTGCAGTCTCCTCTCCTCCCGCAGTTGCTTTAGCCGCTGCCACTGCCGTTGCCTTTGCCGTTGCTGGAGGTTTCCCATTCCAAGGGATGATGGGCAGCTGCCACAGGTCCTTGATGCAGCTGCTCTTCTCCTCCAAATCCCACAACAGCAACTTCCCAAGCTTTGCATGGCAGCTGGTTGGGCCGAACGTAACTTTGGCCTTGCTTTTCTGCAGCCGGCGCACAGAGAGGAGGTTAGCGGATAAACCTTCAACCAACAGCACATTTCCCAGCCCCACAAGCGCCCCATTAGCTCCCATAACCTTGGCATTCCCAACACCAATCACAGGGAGCAAGGCACCTGAAGCGGCAGCCACAAACTTTATCTTCCCAGGGGGCTTCACCTCATCAAGCAAATCTGCCCGTGGAGTCATGTGACTCGTGCAACCTGAATCGATCACCCTATGAGTAAGGGGGTGCATCACAACCTTCCCAACTGAACCCACATCACCCCCACTCCCTTGCACATCCTCAACTATGAGGAACATCCCAGGGTCGCCTTT